ATCTAAAAAACAAAAACGTAAATAGAAAACAGAAACAGACTCATAGACATCGAATACAAACTTGTGGTTGCCAGGGGTATTGGGGGTGGGAAGGGACTGGGATTTCAAAATGTGGAGTAGATAAACAAGATTGTACTGTGCAGCACAGGGAAATATATACAGAATCTTGTGGTGGCTCACAGTGAAAGAGAATGTGACAACGAATGTATATATGTTCATGTATAACTGAAAAATTGTGCTCTACACTGGAATTTGACACAACATTGTAAAATGACTATAACTCAATAAAGAAATGTTTATATATATATAAAAAAAAAGATTGTGGCCATGAGACTTCACAGGAAATTTACATATATGCCTGACACAGAGTGACGTACTCAGTAATTGTTCATGCCTTTTCTAGCCCCTCTCACCTTTTCATGCTCTCCTACCATAATCCTTTTTTTGTTTGTACAAAGAACCAAAATCAGCGTAAATGCCAGCCCTCTGGTGGGACACGTATACGTAGAGAAAGAGCTTCACTGCTACTAGGCAGTCTCTCCATGGACAAGGAACTCTAAATTTTATATATGAATGCATCATACTATAAGGATCCTATAAGGAATTTTTAAACTCTAAGCCCTTAGTTTAATGGATCTACACTTGCTTAAAGCTACTCTGCGTCTGATATCTAGAAGCTTATTATCTCACTAGGCAGAGTGTAAATACTTTTGATTGCTCTCCGGATCAGTCATCCTACAGGTATTCCACAACTTCCATAAATATCCTTGAGAGCCTTTCCTCCCATATCCCAGGTTTACTTCTAAAACATGTGGACTTCTGTTGCTGTAAGTGTAAGGGAATCAGTGAATTTACCTTTCACTTAGCTTGTTGGATGTAGGGACTTTACAAAGCTTAGATGATACTGCTTCTTTCAGCACCATTTAGTATAAATTTCATTTGTTGACCATTTATTTTAATGCACCAAACTCATCTCAGACTAACACAGTAGACCAGAAAGCAAGTGCACATTCTAGTTCTTCTGGCTGAATCATGCATGATTTAAATACAATACGGTATGATAGAGCCATTGAGAACTTCACTCTTGTCACAGAAATATGTGTTGTACTTGGGCCAGCCCCAGCAGAAGCCTGACTCCATGCCTGGTGGGGCAGTCAACTATAATCACGTTAGGTGTCCCTTAATCACCTGCTTTCTGTAGAGCTATACATATGTTCTCTTTAATGATTTTGCCCCACTGTTATCCTAATTTGAAATTTTATTTTTCAGCCACATAAATAGAAGAACACAGTTTGAAAACCCTGTCCTGGAAGCAAAAAGGAAGCTACAGCAGCATAACATGCCCCACACAGAACTTGGAACAAAGCCCCTGCAGGCCCCAGGTTTCCGAGGTTGGTACCTGTCAATGTGCAATGGCTCAAAGGGAAAGACTGTCTGTCAAACTGCCTGTTCTTCCAAACATGCCTTTAATTTGTGGTTTCATGTAATTGATTTGCTTTTCCTAAACCCCTGGGATTAGTTTTAGCTGGGTGTTTGCTCTGTCTCTGAACTCATGCATTTAGCAAGCATAAATGAAGTTAACACCTGGGCAGCGCCTTATAGGAATGCACAGCACGCTGCCAGGTAGAGAAGAATGGGTGTTGACAGTGGTCATGTAAACTGCAGAGATTCATAGACTCATAAATTTGAACCCAGAAGACCAAGCACAAGAATGAGGCTTGTTCTCCTTTGTGACAGTAGACAGCTCGTCATCGACAGTACCTAGGCCCACACCCGCCCGCCCCCACGCTGCCCGGGAGAGGTCGCGCAGCGTGAGTGACTTGTCCCACTCTGGGCGCCACCTCGTCAGGAGGCCCTGGCACATCGGTATGTCCTGGGCTGCTTGCTGCACCTGACTCCGCCCTGGAGCCACTCGGGGGATGAGATGCTGCACACATTTCTCACGTTGTTGTGGTCTCTTACTCACTCGGGAAACACGGAGGAAGCTCTCGCAATCTGGGAGACCCAGATATGCCTGCTGATTTCACATGTATCACTACAGCACAGGACAGATGAATGTAAAGGTCTCACACTGAACTTCTTTCCATGTTGCAAACGTTACTTTCATAAGGAAATGTAGGTGACAAGATTGTGTGCTTTTCCATTTATATGTTAAAGAAGCTCTCTCTGTTTTTCATAAAGATATATGTGATATGTAACAGGCGAAGTAAAATTGCAAAATAATGACTCATTGCTTGATAGTTTGTCCATTACGTATCATCCAAAATGTAACAGCAGCAAACAGAATACTTAACTAAGTCACCATGTACATTCTGGCTGTTAGAAATATCAACTCGTATCATCCAAACTGGAACAACTGAAAAAAAAATGTATAAAATGCTTGACTGTGGTAACATTTTCAAGCAGATATTAATTCTGATTCCTAATATGACTTATTTTTAAGGCATTTAATATACTTAGGAATAATGCTTATTACCAATCACAGCTGGAAAAGCATATTATGTAACAAATGAGAGGATTAGGGTTAAACATATATGAGGGTACAAGTTCTCTTCAGATTATTAGGTATATGATTTGAATATGTCAATATATTGTTACAAATGTGTTGCCTTTACATTCATAATATCTAGAGATATTGGCTTACCTCTTACTCACATTTTAGAGTATACTAACCACTATCGGGTCACTAGAAATTGGTTTATCTGCTTATCTCTATAGCATCTTATAATATAAGCAAAAGCTAACTGAGTCCCACATCCAGGCACTCTTTCGAAAAGGTGTTACCATGCCACTGTTCCTATTCTTTATAAAACAAAAGTCCGTTTCGGTTTTCTACTCCTGTCCCTTCAAGATTTTGTGTGGGACCAGCCAGTCATGCATACCTCCTACCTGGACTCTTTCAGAACAAGAGGAGCATGTCCAGATGCATCTGGATGATTTTATGCTCCTCTGTCTGAAGGCTGTGACAGCCTGTTGATTTAGTTCCTTTTAAGCACAAGAAGGTGATTTTAGTGAATGGAAATTTTGACCTGACAAAAAAAAAAGAAAAAAGAAAAGAAAAAACCTCCCTCCAAACCAAGCAGCTCTTTCACCGTTCCCTGGATACTTGGGACTGCTCTGTATTTGTAGGAAGTGCCCAGAGGTTTGCTCCTGCAGCCACACCTGCTTACATTTACTCTAAGAAAATCCCCCATTCACCCGGGGATTGCTGCTCAGTGGCAGCCTTACCCCGTATAAGAACTTGCCGTAACCCTACTTCTTCTTTTTTGACTTGTATCGGCCAATCTAGAAAAACCACTGTTCACCCGGGATGCATCCCAGTTGAAGGGAACATTCCTCAGCACCACACTAAAAAAGAGCAACATGGGGTTTGGATTTACCATCATCGGTGGAGATGAGCCTGACGAGTTTCTGCAGGTGAAAAGTGTGATTCCCGAAGGGCCTGCTGCACAGGATGGGAAAATGGAAACAGGTAAGTTCCTTAACACTTTAGAAAATTGCTTCGCAACATTTTTTCTAAACCAAATATGAGGAGCATCTTTCTGTGTTTTTAATTTGAAAGCCAAAGGTCACTTCACTTTAGGAAAACCACAGATTATGTTTCCCTTAAATTTAATAATATCAAATTGAAATATTTTGGAAACAGCTTTAAATACCATTTTTGTCTCATTTTTCTGACTGCCCCTTCTGTTTGCTGGATTCAATGGATCCTTGAGATTGACACTTCTCTAATTTATTTCTAGAGTTCCTTCTTAGGAGTGTGATTAACATTTCATACTTTTTTAGCTTATGTTCAGCTACTGATATTTTAAAAATCTGTATTAATCTTGTAATATTTTCATGCTGAATTGCCCAGGTTAGTTATTTAAATATGCATGCTCATCTGACAGAAAAATTTTAATGGTATTCATTTTTATATATCCCCATACAATGTTTCAATATATAATTTTTTTCTTCTCTAGTCCATATGAATTAATTTTCATAATGTAGTTACTTGGGTGTCTATCAGGTTATAATCAAAATTTATTTAACATGGAAATACAGAGGCAAATTATTAAAGACAAGAAACTACAAAATATGAAAAATGCTTAGGTAAAGAAAAAAGTAATGAACTAAGCCTAGTTTTGCTATCTGATTTTAAATTCTCCTACCTGACCCATGACCTTGGAATAGTCCCATAATTTATAAATACTACTTTCTTTGTCTGGAAAAAAGGTAAGAAATCAGATTTGATCTTGTATATTTAAAATACTGATTCAATAATTCTCAAGTATTGTTTTTGAAATGCTTAGAAACTTACAAAGAGCAATGACTGTATATAATTACGATTTCATACTTTTCTCAACATTGGTATACTTTATGATATTAACTTACTATAAGTCAATGGGTCCTAGTAGATATAGAAATTAGACAATTACTTTTGAGGAAAAATTTTGCCATTTGTGTGCTCCATATATTTATGAATTGTGATTGAGTGGATTTTAAAGTAATTTGTGTACAAAGAAACAACATAGACTTGAGATCTTTATCTGACATTTTTAGTTTTGTAAGTTACTGTTTATTGAATGGTTCCTGTAGAAGTAACTTTTTTAAAGGTCACCTAATGAGTATATTTGTCACTGCCACTCACTAATGAATAATAATATATTTTTTAACATTTTTTATTGAGTTATAGTCATTTTACAATGTTGTGTCAAATTCCAGTGTAGAGCATAATTTTCAGTTAT